CTTAAGAAGGAGCCTGTAGAAATGACCCAAAGGAGGGTCGGTTCCAGGAAAGTGACCCCTGTAAGAAGCTGTCTCCTCTGCCGGGGTGGGGCTGGGGGGCTAGGATAAAGCCGACTGGCCACCGCCACCGTGTGAGGACACAGAACGGAGCGGGAAGTTTGGCCTCCAGTGGCCGGTGGTGTGACCAACAGAGACAACGTCATTGACCCGCCCAATGGGCGGGACCCTGGGGCAGATCTGGGTGGGGGTCTCTGAGGGGCCAGGTGATAGGGGCCCCGTCTTTGGCTGAGCGGGATGGGACTGTCCTTGCTCTTCTGAGCCCTCTGGGGCTGCTGCCTACCTCACCCCAATTCAGTCCTGCCGGCTCTCTGGGGGCACCACGGGGCCATTTTAAAACCAAGGCAGTGGTGCTGAGGAGCTCACTCCTGCTCCTGCCTAGGCCCCTCTCCCACCCCTCCTGCCCTGCCCAATGTACACAGTGACCTGGAGTGACCCAGCTTCCACTGCTGTGTGCCAGGAACCCGAGCAGACGTCTCCCCATTACTGGGATTCACACTTTCGAAAGAGGAACGTGTCTGGTCAGATGAAAATAAAACTGCTGAGTGCACAGGGTGTCGCAGCTTCTGGGAGAAGCCCACAGATGGAGGGGGAGCAGCTCCCACAAGCCACCGGGGCACCGGTCATTGACCTCCCTCGGGCTAGCTGTGGCCATGCCCGGGATCACGGAGGGGAGGCTGCCGGGCTTCCCCTTCGGCCTCTTTCATAGACTCTCAGGCAGCGCCTTCTGGGGGACCTCAGCCACGTTCTGCAGCCACGTGCTGTGGCCATGTGCTGGCCCGGGGCTAAGCATTCAGCTTGGCTAGTGCCGGGCTCCCACTGGGGTGGCTGTGGTCTGCCATGAGAAGGGATGTCACTGGAGCCAACCCAAAGTCAGCCCGCCATCGTGGGCCCAAGATAAGGCAGCCCAGCGGCCGGCTGGCCCCAGGTGTCCGTGCGTCCATCCTGCCGCTGGGTTGCCTTGTCAGGCAGCGGCTCGACGCGTCCCATGTAGGCTTTCCCAGTAACTGCTGCCCACAGAAGAAGGGTCCACACTTCAGACTCTGCTGGAACACCGCCGCCCTAGGGAGCCAGTCTGGGCTGAGTCTGGGCCTCCCACTTCTCTGAGGCCAAATCTTGGAAAGTGCCATGCGCCAGCTTCCCTTTCCCCGAAGGCGTTCCCAGTGCCTCCCAGCCCCCTGCCACGGGGCCCGAGGCCACACTCCCTGCCTCTGTGCCCTTCCAAGGGCTGCTCTGCCTTGTCCGATGCTAGCCCTCCTTCAGAGGAACTGAGTTCTGGAACCTTGGCATTGGCTTCCTCCCTGGGCACCCCCGTACTTCTACCCTGTACCATCAGAGGGACTAAAGCCAGGCCAGCGGGGCCTAGCGGAGTGCCTTGTCTCTGGCTGCAGCTCCCCTGGTCTGGGCCACTGAGAGCCAGGCATGGAAAGCTGATTAATTCTTGGTGCCAGGCAGGCGGGCTGGGAGCCGGGCCGCAGGGGCTGATGGCTCTTGGGACTCGTCAGACCGGTTAGTCCTTTAGGGCTGCTCAGCTGGGGAGGCTCGGCTCCCTCAGGTATTCAGAGACAGTCACTGCTGCCATAAACAGATGGGGACCGATGAATGTCGTGACTGCTGGTGTGCCCAGGTGGGTGGGGAGCGTGAGTCAGCTGGGGGATTCCCCTGACCTTTGCTGTGCCCGTTTCTCGGAAGGAAGACTGAACTCCTTGGGATGGGATTTCTCTTCAAGCCAGGGACCCTTGGTCTCCCAGGTGACCTGTCTCAAGGGCACAGGGCTCGTGGGTGTCTGCTGCCCTCTCCCCACCCCACCTGGGCCACCGACAGGAAGGCCTGACTGTCAGAGCCCACTGAGTCGGTAGTTTTGGCCGAGAGACGGAAAGACGTGCGCAGTGAGCGCTGTGAGCACGCGGATTTCTGGGGAAGTTCCTAGTTTGATACAAAATACAAACCCTGGAAACGGTTTTCATAACTGAGGGCTGTTCTTCACAGTGACATGGAAACCCAAGCCTTTGGGTAAATGGGCTGGAAGCTGATTGGCTCTCCTGGACCCAGGTGGTTTAGCGTTGGGCACAGACTGAGCCAGACACACGCAGACACACGCAGACACACGGACACACACAGACACATGCAGACACACGGACACATGCAGACACGTGCAGACACATGGAGACACACAGACACAGACAGATGCAGACCCATGGACACATGTAGACACACGCAGACACATGCAGACACACAGACACACACAGATACAGACACACACACACATATACACAGGTGCAGATACACAGTCATGCATACATAGGCACAGACACAGACAGAAACTCCCCCATTCCCTCTCCCCTTGCCCCGGGCCCTCCCCCGTGGGCCAGCACAAGAACCAGGGGCCCTTGTGGCTTCTTGTAGCTCCTGCCAGGGAAGCCGGGGGGAAGGAGAGCCCAGTAGGCCTGGGCACCTCTCCGCCCTCCTCACAGGGCTCTGGCTGGCCAGGTCACCTGTGCTTCTCTTCCTTTTGCCGGGTACCCTTGGAGTTTGTCCCCCATTCCCCTTGGGGCAGGAGCCTCAGGGATAGTGGATTTGGAGCTCCTTGCCAGATCAGAAGGAAGGAGGGCACTTTGCCCCCCGAGGAGGAGACGCACGTTTTGAGTCAGGTCAAGCCCTGTCAAACAGCAGGAAGCAGCTGGGGCCATCCAGTAGCGGCACAGTCCATTCATGTGATTTGTTGCCACCCACTGTCCTGGACCTCTGCTTCTGGCTAGAGCTGGGTGGGGGAGGGCCAGGTTCCTGCCCCACCCCCCAGCCCTAGCAGCTGGAAGGTGATAATTAGGCATTTGCTAAGGGTGATGGCGCAGCTGGAGCAACAAAGGAGATGACGGAAATCCTGGATTAGTCTGTGCCCACATAGTCAGGTAGAAATTGAGAGGGATGCTCTGAGCCACATGCTTGGAGTTAATTATCATTATTAATCGTAATTATTCTTGACAAAAACACAGCAGAAAGACAAAGCCCCAAAGACAGGGCCCAGGCACATTCCAGATGAAATTGCGTTCCCACGCTTCCTGGGCTGCACCTGGGGCTATGGCACAGGCGCCGTCCCTGCCCCTGCCCCCTTTCTCTTTGGGGCTCCTCCGGCTTCTTTTCTCAAACTTTAGTGCTCTGGATTCCCTTGGCCTATGAAATGGGGGCCTGATCTCCTGGACCTAATCGCTTCCTTCTCTTGGGCCCCGAATGGCCCCATTAGGGAGATCGTTTGGGAAAACCAAGCCTAGGGTTCTCCCAGAAGAGCCTTTGGGCTCTCCTCCTTCAGCTGTGGTCACCAAACCAGCATGGTCCTTCCAGACTCAGCTCTTCTCCTTTTTGGTGGGAGTCCTTGACCGATGGATCAGGGGAGTGCTGGGACAAAATCTCTCATGTTGTCTCTCCTTGTGATCAAGGATGGAGATGCGGGGGCCGGTATAGATGCTAGATTGGAATGGAAGTTTCTAGTAGAGGGCCTTAGGGATCTGTCCCAGCCCTGCCCTGGCAAAAAAAATCCTTAGCAATTACCCAGTTGGAGTCATTGCTTTAGAAGACGGGCTGGTCACACAGTGAGATTAGGGGGTCACTAATCAGCGGTCCGTGTGCTCTGTTGGAGGTGCTTGTGATGTCAAGAGAAACTGAGGAGGGCCTTGAGCATGCCGGGTGGGTCCCCATGGATCGTTTATGGGAAGACAAGGACATCAGTTGCACCGGACGGGTGGACAGTGGACGGAGTCAGTGGTGGGGGGTGGGGCGGGGGTTCCTACATTGGTGTGGCACGTCCACTGGAGTGGTGGAGCACTTGGACAAAGGCATGAGGAGCCTCCCAGAGTTTAAAGGAGTAGCAGACCCTACAGGCGATGGCAGAAACAGGTCTCAGAAGCTTCCACCAGGCTAGAACAACGACTTCTCTGGGAATAGATGGGGTTCTTTATGGTCAGCAAGGTCCTCCGGAGGCGTCTGCTCACTGGCAATAGTGTGTTGAGTGGGTCAAGCTCCATTGTGTTACAGGATGAGGCCCGTGAGCCTCAAGAGAGGCTGGCCTAACAATCCACACAGGACACACTAAGTGGAAGAAAAGTGCCTGTTGTCCAGACTAGAGCCGGCAGAGGAGGAGGGCGGGCTAAGTTCCCTTTGGGAGTATATCAGTACATATAAATGGGGTACGCTCTGGAGCTGGAGAATTCTCCATTCAGGATTGAGGAGAGGAAAGGAAGAGCCTGGATTGCATTTGGAATAGTGTGCGGTGTTTTCAGCAAACCCGAGCAGCAATGTGGTGCAAGCATTCAATCAATTAGAAGGCTTCTAAATCTGAGCTCCTGTGGTCCTCCGCTATGTGGGAAACCATTGCATACTTACCTGTGCGCTTGGACGCAGCCCTCCGTTAATCAGAATCTCACCAGCTCCAAGATGTACAATCCCTGCTCCATCCCTGCACTGCCCACCGTAGCTTCCCAGGACTGTGGCCCTGCTTCTGCCAGGCTGCAGTCATGATGGGGTGGGGCGGGGGACCTTTGTGGGTACAGATCCTGGTCACTGCCTTGAAACAGAAAGTGTCTTTAGGGAAGAAGAGTGAGCAGAGCTTTCGCTAGGAGTTTGGGGTCTGGGGCAAGCCACACAAGCCAGTGCCAGGAAGAGCAGAACAAAAAGTGCCCTCACCTGAAGGGGGGAAGCAAAGCCCCTTGGACACTGGTGTGAGGCCACTGTGGGTAGGTGGGAGCCGCAGAGACATGAGGGAGGCTCTTATCTCACTTACAAAGGATGCCGAGTCTCTCCTGCAGCCTCTGTGGGGGCGGGGCAGTGCCCTGCTCTCTGAGAGTACCTTGGGTTTGGCCACAGAAACAGGAACTCGAGAGAAAAAGAATGAGCTGGGACTTAGCTGTTGCTTCATGACCCAAACTGATTCGATTTTGTTGGTCTTACAGCATCAAGCTCTTAGCTGTGCAAGATCTGGTCGACAGGGAGGCCCTGGAGAAGGTAAGATTTCTGACGCTGCGCCCACCGGGCCGGGTGAACCTCCTGCCGCAGCCCCAGGGCTGGCTGGAGTCCCTGGGGAGCACCCCCACCCCCACTGTAGCCTGCTGCCGATCACCAAGAATCCTCTGAAAATGCACCCTAACCCCCAGGCCAGAGGGGCCTTGCAGGGCCAGCTGCCCAGTCTCAGAGTCGGCTCAGGGGCCGGATACTCCATCCTGGCTGTGCAACACAGCCCGCCTCCTCCCTTCTTCATGAGAGGCGGTGTGGTATGAGGGTTGGAGAGTGAGCCTTGGGGTCAGGAAGACCCCTGACCTCTGACCCATCTTGGCTGGGTGGCCTTGGCCCAGTCACTCACCTTTGCCCTGGGCTCGTCTCTGAGCCCATAACTTTTTGGGCAGAGAGGAGGCACTGACCTGCACTGGCAGAGGAGTTTGGGAGATCCCTAGACGAGGATGTCAGAGGTCTGCCCCCAAACAAGTAGCGGGCCCTTACAGGGATGCTGTGAGGCTTGAGTGTGGGGACGTGTGAAGCATTATGGGAACTTCACAGGAGGGCTCTGGAAATGCTAGTCATTGCTCCTGCTTTGAAAGTGTGCGGGCCCTCCTCCGTAGATCTGACAGGTAAACTAGTCCTTGCTCTCCCGGTTTGCTTATAGTATCGGTCTTTATATCTAAATCCTGTACCCATTTTGACTTTATCTTGGTAAAGGGTGTAAGATGTTGGTCTGTGCCCAGTTTCTGCCATACAGTTCTCCAGTCTTCCCAGCAGTTTTTGTTAAATAGTGAGTTCTTATCCCAGAAGCTGGAGTCTTTGGGTTTCTCAAAAAGCAGATTACTACAGTCATTGACTATTGTGTCTTGTGTGCCTAACCTATTCCACGGATCCACCGCTCTGTTTCTTAGCCAGGACCAAGCAGTTTTGATGATTGCTGCTTTATGATACAATTTAAGATCTGGAATGGCTGGGCCACCTTCCCCTGCATTTCTTTTCATTAGTTCCCTTGATATTCTGGACCTTCTGTTCTCCCAGATGAATTTTGTTATTGTTTTTTTTCTAGCTCTATAAAATGAGTTTTTGGTAGTTTGATTGTTATGGCACTGAATAGGTAAATTAATTTAGGTAGAATTGTCATTTTTATTATGTTAGCTCGACCTACCCATGAGCAACTGATATTTTTCCAACTATTTAGATCTGACTTTATTTGTATGAAAAGTGTTTTGTATTGTGTTCATATAGTTCTTGGTTTTGTTTTGGCAGGTAGACTCCTAAATATTTTATAATGTCTGCAGCAACTTTAAATGGAATTTCTCTTTCTATCTCTTGCTGTTGGGCTTTGTTAGTAATATGTAGAAATGCTGATGATTTGAGTGGGTTTATTTTATATCTTGCAACTTTGCTAAATTTGTTTATTATTTCAAATAGGTTTTTACTTGATTCTCTAGGATTCTCTAAGTATATTATTGTATCATCTGTGAAGAGTGATAGCTTTGTTTCTTTGCTTATTCTAATTCCTTCAATTTCTTTTTCTTCTCTGATTGCTACAGCTAACATTTCTAGTACAATATTGAATAACTGTGGTGATAATGGACATCCTTGTTTCAACTCTGATCTTATTGGAAATGCCTCTAGCTTGTCCGCATTACATATAATGTTGGCTGATGGTTTTAGATAGATGCTACCTATCATTTTAAGGAAGACTCCATTTATTCTTATGTTCTACAGTGTTTTTAATACAAGTGGGTATTATATTTTATCAAATGCTTTTTTTCTGCATCTGTTGAGATAATCATATGATTTGTTAGTTGTGTTGTTGATATGATCAGTTGTGCTGATAGTTTTCCTAATATTGAACCAGCCCTGCGTTCCTGGTATAAATGCTACGTGATCGCAGTGTATTATCTTCAAGATAAATTGCTGTAATCTCTTCATTAATATTTTATTTAAAATGTTTGCATCTATATTCATTAGGGAAATTGGTCCGTAATTTTCTTTTTCTGTTTTGACTCTTCCCGGTTTAGGTATCAGCACCATATTTGTATCATAAAAAGAATTTGGTAGGATTCCTTCTTCACCCATTTTCCCAAATAGTTTATATAGTATTGGAATTAATTGTTTTTTAAATAACAAAGTATTTTTTTTTAAAAAGAACATCACAGACCCCAGTTAAGGACCTTCTGGGTCTCTGGGGCTTTTTCCAGCTCTAAACCCATGTTCCCCTGAGGCTTCAAGTGTTAATGCAGGTCTGTTGGGCTTTGTGGGGATAACACGAAGATATCATGTAGAAAATCCCCAGTGACCATCATCTGTCACCCCCAGCCTCGAACCAGGAGATGAGAAAATGGATGGAGAGTGCAGGGTGTGTGTGTGTGTGTGTGTGTGTGTGTGTGTGTGTGTGTGTGTGATGTCACTGTCTTTGAGAGCTTGAAGGACCGCCATGCAGGTGGTGGGCGGAATTAGGAGTGAGGGGTGCAAGGTGTACAGGGCATCTTTCCCTCCAGATCTAGCCTGAGTCTTTCTAACACTCAGAGCTGTCCCCAGGTGGGCCTGACCTCTTCCAGAGGGAACGGTTCACACCTGTCACCAGGTGGGCCTGGCCGCTTCCAGAAGGGATGGCTCAGAGCTGTCTCCAGGTGGGCCTAGCCACCTCCAGAGGGGACGGCTCAGAGCTGTCCCCAGGTGGTCCCCAGGTGGGCCCGGCCGTCTCCAGAGGGGATCGGGTACCCTGTCCTGGAGGTCCTCAGTCAGGAGCTGGAGGCCTGCTTGTCAGGTGGGTTCTGGAGGGCCTGCACGCTCAGGAAGTCCCAGATGGACTTTGGGTCCATGACTGTTAATATAAGGACCCCCTGGTGGCAGGCCTGCCTCTCGACCATCTCCAGAATGACAAACTGGCACCGGGAAGGCCTCAGGAGGCAAGAGGAGAGGAGGGAGGCCTCCATCCTCCATCAGTCCAGTTGGTTGTTGGTGGCTTGACCCCAGCCCTGGGGGTGGGTGCTGCTGCTCGATGGGGCCAGCCAGGTCCTCAGGAGGCCCAGCCCTCACACTCTGAGCTTGGCCGGGACTGGGCAGCTGCCCGCCCTTCCTCCTCACCTCTGCCCCAGAAGGCTGAGCTCTATGGGAGGAGATTGGGCCGAATCCTAGCTGGCCAGCTTCTCTCCCCCCGCAGGGTCTGCCAGGCCCTGCCCCAGAAAACGAACATTGGGAAGATTTTCATCTCCTTCCATACCACATCCAGCATTAAGAACCTGGGGGGCTGTTCCTCCCGCCCCCCCAAGTACAGATCTGTGGAACACGGGCTGTGCTGGATGCTGAGGGCTGCCCTCCCTTTAGCTGTTCCTGAGCTTGGAGCCAAGGCCGTTCTCAGAAAGCCCGGCGACCCACAGCCTCGGCTGCTTGGAAGGGAGGCTGGAGGCCAGAGGCCAGCCCCCTTCTTTTAGAGATGAAGAAGGTGACCTGTTGGGCCCCCACAGGGGGTCAGTGACAAGGACAGGCTTCAGATGCAGATCCTCCCTTCTCAGGGCTGAGGGTTTTCTGTTTAATTCAGCTCATCACGGAATTATTCTGTGCCTAGTACATGGCAGGCCCTGTGTTAGGAGACAGAAAGGACGTATTCCCTGCCCTCCAAGAGCTTCCACTCTGTGGAAGGAAATATCACACAGAGGAGTGTGATAGTGGAAGGACTCTGATGTGGGAGTCGGAGGACCTGAGTTCGAATCCCATCTCTGATGCTTCCTGCCTGTGTGACCCTGGGAACGTGACCTCACGTGACCCCTGGGCCTCAGTTGGCCCTTCCAGCTCCATGATCCCAAGTCAATGCGAAGCCTATGCAGAAACCCTGGCAAATGGGGGGGGGGG